TTACAGTCCTTGGTTTTAGTCCTAGGTCTATGATCCACCTTGAGTTGGTTTTTGTATATGGAGTGAGGTGGGGATCTTGTTTAATTCTTCTGCAGATAGTTTTCCAATTTTGCCAACACCATTTGTTAAAAAGGCTGAGAATGCAAAGTTTTATTTTCTATTCCCCCCCTTCTTTTGATCCGAATTCTCGTATAGGCTCTTCATCAAAATGTGTTTATACAACTTTTGTCAGTTGCACTTTTTACAGATGTACAACTTATTAACAGTTAAAATATATGTTCATTGTTTACTGCCTTTTATATCACTGTTACAAAAACAAGGACAGCATGGAGAGAGGTGGTTTTTGTTGGGGGTTTTTTTTTTTTTAATTCGTGTGTGTACCGTCAAATCAGATCTGACTGGTATAAGAGGAGATTGTTCCTCATTCTCCAGCAGAGCATCTGGTGAATTCAAACTGCTCACCTCTAGGATTGCAGTGCAGCTTCTTGCCAGTAGACCACCAGAGCTCGCCAGAGTCGTATCTTACCTCCACTTATTTCTTGAGTGGAAACTGTCTTTCAGTAGCATCCCCATCCCTGCCGCCTCAGTAACTGTTAATAAAATTTTTATTTCAATATTTTTGTGGGTTTTTTTAATGAAAGTGTGATTATATAATAGTTATATTTATTATGTGGTTGACTTGTATCACTTGGCTACATGCTGGCCCTCTGACAACTCCCTGGAGGGTCAGCTTTGAGTCATTTTTGACTCAGTGACAGTGAGTCAGTGAATGGATGATTGACTACTCTAGCAGTTCAGATCTACCAGTGGCTCCTTGGGAGAAAGATGAACTATCTCTCATACTCTCATGGCTTGATTCGTGGGAGGTGAAGCAGTTTTGCACCTTTCGTTATGTGAATAGTTCTGCAAGGAACAAACACCTGATTAAGCCCCTCTGCCCCTTTTTTCTTTTAAGTCTTTTAAGTCTGTATGCCTATAAATGAAATTACTCAGTCATACAGGTGTGTATGTGTGTACTGTCAGATTTATACCATGTGCCAAATGTAATGGTTACCTATGGTGGACAGTGTTTGCTGGAGCTTCCTGACTAAAAAAAAGCCTGGAAGCAGGAGCGGCATCCACTTCCAAAATGGCTTGCCTCCAGAAACGATTATGTACGAACCGTGCTCAGGCCATTCGTCCATAGGGTCCCTACGAGTCGTCAATGACTCAATGGCACCTAACAACAACAGCCATCAAATATAAGTTAAGAGTTTGCATTTTTGTATTTTTGAGTTCTTTGTTTTGTTTTTTTAGCTGCCATGGGATTTCTAAAACAGTGTGCCACTTTACACACCCCAGAAATCTCTGACATAGGGCCTATTGCTGTAGTCACATGTCAGTCCACTTGGTGGAGGATCCATCTCTCCTTTCAAAGTATGATGTCCTTTTCCTAACAGAATGCATAAAGTTTGTGAGACGAAGATTTGCCATCTTTGCCTCCAAGGAACACTCTGGCTTTACTTTCTCTAACACATGTTCTTTGGGCAGTCCACAGAATATTCTGTGTTTTTCTTCGACACCACAGTTCAGAGATAACATTTCTTTGTCAGAAATTGTGAGGATAGTTCAAGATAGGTCAGGGGTCGGATCCATTTTCCAATGTGTGTCTATGAGCAGTACTTGACTCATGGCACCTAACAACTGTCAACAGTAGATAACGGTTCAAATTTCTTTATATTCTCACCAACATGTTTTCTGACTTGACTTTGTTTTCTCCTTCTTAGCCAATATAATGAGAGTATGATGATCTTGTGGTTTTTATTTCCTTCGTGAATGACCACTAGTGCTGAGCATCATTTCATGTGTCCATTTGAGTATCCTCTTTGGTAAAATACCTGTTAAAATCTTTTGCCCAGTTTGTGATCGTTTTATTTTTGTTAAATTGTTGACATTGAATATTTGCTTATCCTTTTTTACAAATATGGTTTCCAAAGATACTCTCCCAGTCAACTTGTCTTTTCACTTTTTTGGTGAAGTCTTTTGAGGAATCAACGTTTCTAATTTGAGGACTATCTTGGTTTTTTCTTTCGCTGTTTATGCGTTTGTAGTTAAACTAGATAACTTTAAAGTTTGACTTGACTTTTGTACTGCTTGCTGTTCCCAAGAACTTTATAATTTCTGTTTACATAGTTAAGATTTTTTTTTCTTGGTTTTGAAGGGGTTTTGTGTTGTTTTTTTATAGGATTGGGGGGATTTTAAGTGTTTTTAATATGGTGCACATGTATCCTGTTGCTTTTTTTTTTTTTTCTATATGTTGAAATCCGGTTGTTCTGGTACTGTTTGTTGAAAATATTTATTTCCCTGTTGAATAGCTTTAGCGAATTTGTCAAAAATCGGCTCACAACAGATAATGTTTATTTCTAGACATTCTAATCTATTGGTTGGTCAGTATGTCTATTATAATTGTTCCAGACTTTATTATTGTGGCTACATATACACATATTTAGTTTCTGTGAAAATTTTCATTATGCAAAAATGGAAGATGGATGACTAAATTACTACATAACAACCAAACTATGGTCCTGCCAAGTTGGGACATAACCATCACAGTTGATGTTTGACCTCACATCTTGTTGATTGCTTTTAATGCGTTTAAAAGCATAAACTCTTCATCAGGTTTAAACTAACTCCTAGACGAACTTCCAACAGAAGGCTACAAATCACATAGGAGATTACTTTTCTTTCTGCCTCAGAGCTGCTGGTGGGTTCACCCACCTTTAGGTTGACAGCACAACTCCCTATTGCCACCAGAGCTCCCTGACAATGTATACATTGTTATTGTATATACTCTTACAGTGGAACCAACCCATAGCTGACCCTCCAGCTTTTTAGAGTCAGTAAATCACATGGGGGAGATTGTCTTTCTCTCACAGATTAGCTAGTGAATTGAAATCATATGCCTGTGTCTTGACAGTGCAGTTCCCTTACCCTTAACCTCCCATGACAATAAGTATGGTATATCTTAATCTATCTCTTCTGAGTCTCTTGGCTTGTTCCATCCAAAATTGAGGAAATTTTTTCTGTAAAGAAAGGCTTAATATTTTTAGCTTATAGTTACTGATATTCAGTCTTTAATTCACTATTTAGACTTTTTTATAGAGGTTAATCATTTCCAGACATCTTTGTTTTAAATCATATATAGCTTCTTCACATTATGTAAAACCATAATAAGACTAGAATAAAATATATGCCACCCTGCTTGAGATACAAACCTAAGTCTGTTTTCCTTAGTGATAGAGAGTACTGTTTAGAATTTCATATTTAATTTACATTTTTTTATAAATCCTCACTTTACTCAGTGATAGTCCTGATTGTATACACACAACTTTCTGGAATTTTATGTAATTATTTGTAACCTATCTTCCAGGAAGGAAGATGCTTATGTTCTGCATTTTTCATTGGTGGGACTGTGGTACACTTATTATTCTGGGACATGAAACCTACTAACTAGGGTTTACTTTAACATCCATTTTTAAACTGATTTTTACACTTTAAATAGATGATGAACAACATGGGTGGTGATGAGGATGTAGATTTACCAGAAGTAGATGGAGCAGATGATGTAAGTCAATAAATTCTTTTCTCTGTTTACTTTAATAGTAAGAAACAATGTATTTACAGGCTGTCTTAGAAATTCAAAATGGATCGCGCACACACATTTTCTTGTTTTACCTAGAAAAGCTGATTTTTAATGTACCCATTATTGATGGATGGGTACTACTGTCTAGTTCCATGAAACATTTTTAAAGGGCCATATTTCAAAAGAATAATTCCAGAGACATAATATACACTGTTTAATTGACAGTTTGGTGATTATTTTTACTTACCATTTAGACTGAAAATGAAAAGTAAACAGGTTAGTAGATCTAATCAGAGATTATTGAGTAAATAAATAAATAAACATGAATTTATAAGAGGACTACTTTCTGGAGGTTTTCTTAGTATTTTGTTAATATTTTCCAGGAAGTTGCTCATTGATGTTTCGGAGGAGAACCCCAAAACAAACATGTTCTACTTAAACCAATCCAGTAGCTGAAATTTAGTTCTGTTTCCTGGATATTATTTCAGTGATCTTCATATTGAGCATTTTTTCCTCCATTGAATGCTGAGAGAGAGGAGAGGGGCCAATTTTGCATCAGGATTCAGTTTGCAGGATAGGGAAGGATTTGGAGGGGGAGGTAAAGGTACAGTTTCTACAAGAAGATAAATTCTCACATCTGTTCACTTTAAGTACACCATGCTCTTAATGATTAAATTCCTAGACTTGATGTAATAACCCCATGCTTTTGTTACTTTCATTGAAAGGAAGTATGGTGTTTCAACTTAAAACTATTAAGTAGAGCAATATTTATCAATATGGTAACTTTCCCCCCTTTTTTTTTTCTAGGACTCACAAGACAGTGATGATGAAAGTAAGTGCCATTGTGTTTCACATCAAAGACCAAAGTCTCAGAGATGTTAACTTCTTAACAGTTTTTATAAGAAAATTATTTATGGCCTTAAGCCAAAGAAGAAATTTGACTTAGTATTGGTTAATTAATCAGAAAACTGTTTAACTCAATTGTTAAACATTTCCAACAGTGCTTTCAACATTGATACATTATGCACTTAATACTGTTTTTTGTTGGTTTTTTGTTTTTGTTTTTGTTTTTAATTCTTTCAGAAATGCCAGATCTGGAGTAAGAAATACTGTCGTCACCACGATTTGAGAAAGAAAAATAACTTCTACAAGATTTCATAATTGAAAGAATTCCTGAATTGATAGCTCTAAAGGCAGATTCTTAACCCATTTTTCAAACTTTGTTTTTTTAAAGGCTTCACTAAGGGTTGATATGTACCATTGTATGGGGCAATTTTAAGTCGGCTAAGGCAATATAACCTTATGCATGAAAATTTTTCCCAGATTTAATGGAGCTGTTGGTCTTACTTAGGCAATTGATTCAGCAGATGTAATAAATAATAATTTTCCTTTATAACATAGACCCTGATGTGATAGGAAGCTCTCAGCCTAGAGAAAGAAATAAATATTAGACTTATGAACTTGGACTCAAAGTGGTTGAAACAAATTGGCTGACATTGTTAATTGGTAACCTGCTATATTTCTATGGTGTTTCTTCAGGATTATTCCACTAAAGTTTTATTTTTCAACAAATTTATTTCACAATGTTGTATGTAAGTGATCACTTGTCAGTGTTCCAAATAAATCTTAGCTAAAAATAGTGAATGCCCTCAATTTAGATGGTTTTGAAGCCTGTACATTTGGTATTGTTTGACCCTTAAGCTTTTACATCTTTTAGCATGGAGGACAAAGAAAGGCTGTACATTGATGCTTGAGAGTCTTGTACATTTAGACCAAATTTGTATTTTCACTGTCAGTATGGCAAATGAGTGAAACAATGTTAATACACTATCGGGGGGGGGGGTGTTTTTGGTTGTTTTGGGTTTTTTTTGTTTTTGTTTTTGTTTTTAAATTCAGCTTATCCTAGGGCTGAAAACCTCAATTTCTGTTCATGACAGTGGAGATTTTGATTTTTTTTTTTTTTAAATATCTACATTCTTTCTAATAAACTGTTGGAAGACTTCTTGGTTGTCTTTTAAATGTCTGGTTTACTGTAATTTCATGTATTATTGCCATCTACTGGAATGGAGTTTATATTTTTGAGGAAGAATTTGAGAATATTCCTGTTAGAAAAGAAAGGAATTGTAATGTTCACAGGAGATTTTTCAAAGTGGATCTGTAATGAGAAATTGTAGATGCACTTTGCAGCAGTTGAAAAAGTGTTGTGATTTGACTGAAATAAAACTAAATGTGTTGTCCTCCTATATCTCTTGAGCTTTCTACATTTTGCCAGTTCTTATAATCTACAGCTTTTGTGTTTCTCACAGTATAGGAATTCTTCAGTTCTGGAAATACCAAGATTTATCCTTCAGGTGATTATTATCAGAGTTCACACACTAGGCTAGGGGATAAGTACACTGAAATAAAATCTTGATAGGTGAGCACACTGCGAGCTGATATATACATTAGTTGCTAGTTGCTCAAATGGAGAAGGTTAGGCAGTCTCCTCCTCTGTAGTTTATAGCCTCTAAAAAACTACTGGAGGGTTAGCTATGAGTTGGTTCTAACTCCTCCAAACACACCAACAGCATGGGAACTTGAGAAGATTCCACCTTTCAATACAGTAAACAGTAACTATATATAAAACTTAGCTTAAATTCTACAAAACCTTCCTACTTTGAGGCACTGGACATAACTTGACATTCAACTCCTGTTAAAGAAGTATACCTTGGGTTCTGGTCTTATTGAGGTAATGGAATTTCATTAAAGCCTTTGACTTATATTCATCCCACCCCACCTATAATGGTTTGAGCATGCCAAAACTAGATTTGGGGGTGGGGGGGTGAAATAAATATACCACCGTCAAATTGATTCCACCTCAACAGCTTTCCATTGTGTGTCCAAAACTAAATTACATTGAGATTGCCCAGTTAGCAAAAAACACACTACTGATTGTGCCATCAGTGCTTCCAAAACACCAAATAATGATGATAATGTGAAACCCAAGTATGTCATAATTGTTAATACAGTTATCATTAGTCATGTGAAAAATGTATTCACAAGTCATTTTCTTCATTTTAAATCCAAACCATCATTTCCACACTCCAACTAATTTCCACAAACAAAATCATAACTATCTTCTTGTAGCTATTGCTGTTTGTTTTCACAGGTTTTCACCTCCAATTTCTTTTGTTGAATACCTGTGTGCTTTATGTTGCGTCTAGATGGTCATACACTTTCAAACTTGGGTGTCGGTGATTGGTAACATCAGTTCACTCACGAAGTTCAAACATACATCCTCCATTGACTTTCCAAAAATTTTTACTTCCATGGCACATTACCTATCAGTTGAACTGACAGTTGTGACCTTTGGTTTAGAAGTTTGACTTCCTTAACCTCACTTTTTTAGACATGTGTCATCAGTCAGCCCTTACTCACTGACCCTGTGAACGATGGAACTAAACCCTGTTCTATCCTTTGCCATCCTCATCTCTGCTACACTTCAGCCCTATTAGTCAATCCTTCTTGTTGAAGGTCTTTTTCCCCTCTTTGGCTTACTCTCTATTTTTCTGTACATGAGGTCATTTCCAAGTATTCACACACAACAACAAGCTGTAAGTATATAATACAAAATCTAATCATCTTTCCCTCTGATGAGCACCCTGGCTGTACCATCTCTAATACATACTTGTTCTTTGGCAATCCATCAGATATTAATACTTTTCTCCAGCCCTACAACTCAAAGACATCAATTCTCTGTCATGGTCTCTACAACTCTCAGATGCATAGCAAGTCAGTCTGACCAAGGAATTTATAAATAACCAGTTCTGAGCTAATGGATCCACTTGATAAAAGAGGGTTTCACCCTCTCTAGAACAGACCTATTCTCTTGGTGGTCCATGGTGTATTCATGGTATATTCAAGACTTTTCCAGCACCACAACTCAAACATAGATTCTTCTGTCATCCTTAGTAATTGTCCAGCTCTGATGCATAGCAAGTAAGATCGTGACCTGAAGCAAGCACACCATAGTCTCTAGACTGGCATCCTTCTCAGTATTCTGGAGAGTAGGTTTTCCCAGTGCAATTAATCTTTGATTTCCTGACTGCTGGTGTCAAAACCGTTGATTCTGGAGCCAAGCAAGCTGTAATTGGTAAACTCAAATCTCTTCTCCATTTATCATGGTGCTGCCAATTGGCCAGTGGTGAGAATCTGTCGTCTTGATGAACTTCATCATAAAGACTATTGTCGTTGACCTGTAGCAAGCGCTTCAGGTCTCCCCTCAGTTTCAGCAAGAAAGGTTGGTGTCATCCATAGAACATAGTTTGTTGTTGAGGCTTTCTCCAATCCTGATACCACATTTCTCAAATTCCAGCCTCCTGAATGATCTGCATATAGATTGAAAAGGTGTGGAGATAATGACACATCTCTGACACTCCTTTTTTTTATTTTGAACCATGCAGTGTGTTCCTTGCTCTGTTCTAAGTAATCCTTCCTGGTCCAAGTATAGATTTCACATAAACTCAAGTGTTCCGACATACCCAATCTCAAGGTTAACCACAGTTTGTGATCCACACAGTCAAATGTCTTTGCATAATCAATGAGACATTTTCCTCTGGTATTTGCTTTCTGCTAAAATCCATCTGTCATTGGCTTTAAGTTTCTAGTGCCATGACCTCGCCTTGGTCATTGTACCCTTATTAGTCAATTTTGGATAATCTTCAGTATTTTGCTTGTGGTGATGTTATGTGCCATCGAGTCACTTGCAACTCAGCGGCCCTATGTACAAGAGCTCTAAATGCTATTCTATCCTGTGACAACCTAGCCATCTCAAACCCACTTATTCCCACCGCTCCAGTCAGAGAATCGATCCATCTCTTCGAAGGTCTTCATCTCCTTAATCACCCTTCTGCTCTGCCAAACATGATGTCCCTCTCCAAGGACCAGTCACTCCTTGCAGCATGCCTAAGGTCAGATGAAGCTTTAGAATCCTTGACTCTCAGGAGCATTCTGGCTTCACCTTCTCCAGGGCAAACCTGTTTGTTATAGCAGCCCATGGTATATTCAACACTCATTTCTAGCCCCACAGCTCAAAGGTATCAATTCTTTTTCTATCAACCCTATTCACTGTCCAACTCTCTGATGTATATAGTACACAATTGCAAAGACTATAGCCTGGATCAGGTGCACCTTAGTCTCCAGTCTGACATTGTTGCTCTTAAGTCCTCTTGAGAAGTCCTTCACAATCTTCACCATCCATTCTAATGCTGCCGATTGGCCCAGTGGTGAGAATCTTGTTTTCCTGATGTTGGCGCTTCAGTCCATACAGGAGGCTGCAGTCCTTGATCTTCTGCAGCAAGCCCTTCAGGTCTTCAGTTTAGCAAGCAGGGTTGTGTCATCTGCATAACGCAGGTTGTTGATGATTCTTCCACCAATCCTGATGCCACATTCCTCTTCGTATAGCCCAGTGTCTCAGATGATCTGTTCTGCATACAGATTGAAAAGGTGTGGAGACAGAATACATCCATGATGAACCCCCTTCTTGATTTTGAACCATTTAGTATCTCCTTGCTCTGTTCTGACAACTGCCTCTTGGTCCAAGTATAGGTTTCACATTAGCACTATCAAATGTCCTGGGATTCCCATTTTTCTCAGAGTCAGCCATAGCTTGTTATCCACACAGTCATAGTCAATGAAGCACAAATAGACATTCTTCTGGTATTCTTTGCTTTTTGCCAAGATCCATCTAACATTAGCTGTAATATCCCTAGTACCACAACCTCTTCTAAATCCAGCCTTCACATCTGGCAGTTCTCTGTTGACATTTTTGAATAATTTTCAAAATCTTGCTTGCATTTGATATTAATGATATTGTTTGATAATTCCACACTCTGTTGGGTCACTTTGGAATGGGAACAAATACCGATCTTTTCCAGTCAGTGGGCCAGCTGGCTGTTCTCCAGATTTCTTGGCTCAGCACATCCAGGGCAGTGTCTGTTGAAATATGTTAATTGGTATGCTGTCAACCCCTGGAGCCTTGTTTTTGCCAATTCCTTCAGAGCAACTCGAACTTCCTCGTTCATCACCATAGGCTCTTGCTCATATGTCATTTCATTAAATTCTTCTGTGTCAGCCAATTCCTTCTGATACAGTGACTGTGTATTCCTTCCATATTCTTCATTGATAACTTCCTGGATCATTTAACATTCTACCCAAAGTATCCTTAAGTATTGCCACCCGTGGCTTGAATTTGTTTTTCAGCTTAAAAAATGCAGAACGAGTCCAGCCCTTGTGATTTTCTGACTCCAGCTCTGCACATTTCATTATAGTATCTTGCTTTGTTGTCCCGGGCTGCCTTTTGAAATTTTCTGTTTAGCTCTTTGATTTCTTGGTTTCTTCCTTTAGCTTTGGCTTCTTGGCGCTCTAATGCAATATTCAGAGTCTCATCTGACATCCATCTTGGTCTTGTCTTCTTTTTCAGCCTTTGTAATGATCTTTTGCATTCTTCATGGATGCTTTTCTTGATACCCTCCCAGAGCTCATTTGGTCTACGCTTATTGGTGCTCAAGGCCTCAAACCTGTTCCTCAGATGGTTTTGAAAGTTGAGTGGGATAGACTTAAGATTTTAGGTGATAATTTCTACACTCTATCAAGTCATCTTTTTTTGAACTATAAGTATGGATCTTTTCCAGTCAGTTATCTAGATTTCTTGGCACAACTTGGTGAGCATGTACAGAGCAGTACCTGTTTATTGAGATATATATCCCATTTATACCAAGATTGAAATTGGTATCCCATCAATTCCTGGGGCTTTATATTTTTTCAAGTTCTTTAG